GAAGTCGAAAATGGATTTAAATTAATTAAAATTAAGAGATTTCGAGTTGTTTGGATCATTTGTGTTATCAATCTGCGTTTGTTTACACGACCCACATACGGCAGGGGCACGCAGAGGATCGATAATGGAAATCGTTCAAAAGAGAGATAATATTCTCCGCGCGCAGAAAAATCGATATATCGAAAAAGTGGCGCGCGGAATTATTTTCTGGTGCAGCGCCGGAATAAATAGTTTTGACACAAACGGCGAGCAGGAATCGATATATGGAAAATTCCGCGCGCGGAACAGATTTGAAGCGGCGCGCCGACAAAAATAGTTTTGACACAAACGGCGCAAATATATCGAAAACCGGCGCGGAATCCGGAAATTCAGAGATTTTCATCGAAAACGGGTTTTTTGTTTCCGCGCGCCAGAAAAAATTCCGCGCGCGCAAGAAAAGGGTTTTGACACTAACGGCGTTCCATAGTGGAGGGTCTCTTGTCTCTGGAATTCAACCCCTCATTCCGTTTGTTCCTTGCCGAACCCGTAATTCCCCGGTCCATTCCAGATTATAATCTTTGCAATTGGTGAAACTGTAATCTTTATTCCCGTTTGTGACACTGTGAGGGCCTAAAATACGGGAACCAATCAGAAATGGATTCAAATTGTCTTGACTCTCAATATAATGGGACTCTAGGTCGATATCATGATCAGCTGTTAAATCTGAACCCTTGATTCTTCAATCCACCAATTCTCTTATCACTCATCACCCACAACTCACCATGGCGCATTTAACTAGAGCCATCCCCAATATTTTCCTAAAGGTAAGTCTACTAGATTTTTACAGAAAGCCCAAGTGCCAGCCTGAGATTTTTTCATCACTTTACAATTTGAAATCTCAACTTTTCCAGGTACCCTTGAACACCACCGTCACAGGAGTGCTGAAAAGAACCCTGAGCTGTTCACCAACCTTATCCATCGTAAGTGACAACTCCAAAACTTTACTAACTTGGCTGCTTGAAGTCACTGTTTGATCTCTTGGGTATTATAAGTTTCCCTCTCTCTTCACCGCTGGGTTTGGAGATTGATCAAACATCCAAAAATACATCTTATGATTATTTTGCTATGCTTCATCATCAGACACAATCATGAAGGAAAGTAGTCAGAAATTAGTGTTACCGTTCTGCGTACGCAACCCTGACAGCATATTACGCAACATTACGCAGAAAATTGTCCCAATTACGCACGCCATTATGCAGGAAAAATTCTCTAAATATGCAGAAATTACGCCAAAATTTTCAAATTATGCAGCAATTACGCAGTTTAAGCCTTATTGTGAACAATCTTACGCTTATTTCGAAATTCTGAAATATTTATGTTGCCTATGTAAGGTGGGAATTTAGTAGCAAAGTTTGCAGCATTGCTTCTAGGTAAAAAAATATCTTCTCTCTGACCGTTTTTTATCAAGATGGGCATGACGCATTTAACCTAAAAACCCGGGGTAATAAACTGAAATTTTTAAAAAACTGCAATTACGCATGAATCACGCAGAATTCTTCCAATTATGCATTACGTAGCCACTACGCAGCAACCCTCCAATTATGCAAAAAAAGTCCTCAATTACGCAGAATGGTAACACTGTCAGAAATTGTAATGAACCACCAGTGAAAATGATTCAGTCCTACTCTCGGAAGGAGTTTTGTTTGGCATTATCAATCTTTTTCTGCTACCCCTTCTCTCTCACTGTGGATCTCTTTGAGGGCTGAAGGGGATTAATGTGTATTTGTGGTCTCGCGGTTCTCTACCCCTCGAGAATATTTGTATTCAATTAGGTACTATGGAAGTTTAGGAAATACCCAACCCAGTGGATTGTGTGAAGCATATGGTTGGAGTAGAATTAAAATATTTGGGTAATTTCCTGATGAAGTCATAACGACCCAGAGCAAAACGACAGAAACCCGAAGTGATGAAGCACAAAGAATGATGACCCTGAACTTCTTCATGCTAGGGAACATGAAAAATCACCAGCATATTAGGGAATATGAAACTTTAAAGAACAAAATTGGTGGGTCGGTTACGCATGGCCAACTACAACTTTGAAATTAAGGAGTCATTTCAGAAAATGCAAATAAGCGCTCAACACGAAGGACACACACAATTTCGGAAATTGTTCCATTGCATTCTTGATCATATTTGTCCTAAAGTATCAATACCGTATTGAATATCCTTGATGCAAAGTAAATTGTATGATGGCATTTTGAGAAAATGAGGACAATATTTATGAAATTTGGGGAATATTAGGAAAAGCTTCGAGACTACCTTTGGATTTTAGTAGAAATTTTGAGACAATAGTGGAGTTTCAGTGACTATCTTGAGGGAACTGAGTGATTATGGTAGTTTATGTAGGTACTTAATAAAGGAATTTCTTAAACAAATTCTTAGAAAGTTGATACTATTCACACTCAAATTAAGGTGTGATAAAAGTAGTGGATCCTTGCAGTTTGTAAAGAAAATAGTGACAAAAATGCCCATTTGTGGGTGATTTTTCGTCTTAACTGCAATTTGATGCAAATTGTATATTAGGTTTTTTAATAAAGTTTCAGGTTAACAGTCTGAAATTGACAAAATAATTTGTATGAATTTTATAAGAAAAAAGTTGAAAATTCTACAAAATATTTTATATTAGGTAGGTACTTATTTTCAGCAATATTTTTTACTCTGTTGTACTTTAATGGGAGGTTTAGCTTTTACTCTCGGTTTTCTCAGTGCAAGGTATAGATCCTATGCTTAAAATGGCTCTTTAGTTAATTTTTCAGTTTGTATCAGACGGTGAATATTTGCTCAAATCTTTTTTGCCCTTATTTCTCTAGCAAGCCCCTGTATCAAGACCTGAAAATCATACAAAATGCACTCTAATTCCTGGTGATGGTGTTGGACCTGAACTTGTTCATTGCGTTCTAGAAGTTTTTAAGGTTTGCAGGATTTTATTAATTTCAAGATTTTTTGTCTTTTCTTTTTTTCCTTTTTTCTTTCATTTTCCAATGTTCAATCAGTAAGTAAGGGCGGGGCTGACCGATGAGGCGCCCTCAAGGGGCCAAGGCAACTGGCAGGAACACTGCTGTCGTGCACCCCGAAGTTGGGCAGCGCTCCTTAACTTTGTACTATTGACACATTCTGTACACTGTTTATTCCCGCAAGGCTCAGCAGCCATCTGATAGCCAATGGTGGGTCTTATCAAAGACTGGCAGACGTTGCAGAGCATAGATTTTCGGAGCACGGCCATGTCTCCACCGAGTTGGACTGTGTTGTTTCAATCTCCACTGATAGGTAGGGCTGGCATTCGCGCACACTACCAGTGATTACCGATTTTTTCACTACCCAGTTGAACAGTGTAGACAGATTACTTATTGGGTGACTATGTCCCTCCCACACCCATTTTCCTTGAAGGGTCAGGGTGTTGGAGTGGCATAGTCACCTACAGTCATATTGACTGATATTTGAGTCTCAAATATCAGCCACCTCTGGGGATTGCACCCAGGACCTCAGTGTTGGCAGCGAACTGCCTTGACCACCACACCACTGAGGCTGACCAATGTGAAATAAAGCATGCAACCCAGACTGCCAAAGGTGCAATGTCCTCTAGATTCCGAAACTTACAAGAGAGGACTTGAAGCAAGGAGAACTCTTGATGTCATTCTTTTGGGTTTTACTGTATGAGCTTTGCATGTTATGGGGTCAAACCACACATTAAAAGCATAGTAAAAGTTTGGAAAGATGAAATGTTAAGGCAACCAAGAAAATACCGTAAACTTAATTGGCTCTTCATGTCAATTATTCGTACGCATCACTTAAAAAAATTTGGAAATAAGTGGCAACTGCGTTTGATACAAAATTCTGATAATTAATAACTTGACATTCCCTCTCGGCCCTTGTATAAATCTGATCCTTTCCATATTTTCTTTATCTTGGAAAAAATGTAAGACTTCTTTATACAATCGCATTTCCCATATAGACAATCCATCCCTTCTGCTCAGCGTGATTTCTCTCCATCAAACCAATGTAATTTTTGCTGTAAACTTTAGAGCTCCAAGGATAGGTTTACAATCAACGATTCAGTCTTTTATCGTTTCTTCATACTGTGATCAAAAGGAACCTTACAATAACCAAGGGTATAATGGATTGGATCTTTTGCAACTTGGAGCACCCTCCCTGTTATTTGCGCCTTCTTATATTTCCTTATCCTACCTCTCTGCCAAATTTGAGCCCGATTAGAGGAGGACAATTGGTAGTCTCCCCTTGTCAGCCCTACCCTCCCCTCCCCCCTCGTAGGGCACTACAAGGCTGTAAGAGACCCCCCCCCCCCAAAGAGCATCACGTAATTTATGGACGGCCCCTAAACAATGTTTTTTGTTGTCATATCTGCGTCATGCAATCGTTCCGTTTTAGTGAGCAAACAAACATTGTCCCAGCGAGTGCCAGAGAGATCGAGAAAGCTATTCAAGAGAGCGAGCGAAGAGCACACTGTCTGACAGGACAGAAGGATGACGATTAAGTGAGGTGACTTGGTGACTCTGTCTGTTCTTGATCATCAAATCATCAAAACAAATTTTGTTCCTCTGTGGACTGCGCGAGTGTGCATCTGCGAAGTAAGCTCCGCGGCTCTGCCTTTTAGCCACAATGGATACAGTTTGAAAGTGGGNGGGGGGGGGGGGGGGCCGCGCAGCCGCACTGCATTGCCTTCCCTTCTCATAATCAAATCTTTTTTTCCCTCTCACGGTCAAATCGTTTTAGAGAGTCATTGAGGTTTATGTAGTAGATGTTGCCTTGGGATACGAAAATTTTGAAACCCTAGAAAATACCCCGAAAGTTTCAGGGTGGCACACGAAAGCGACTTTGTGCCCCCTTGACTACAACTCAGGACACAATATAGCTTTTGATGTACACATTTACCTTTTTTGCGGTTGGCAGTCTTGGCAAATTGAGCGTAGAATCTTAAAAACTGGTTTTTGTTTTGTTGGAGTCATTGTACTCCTACAAAATATGGCAAATTTTAAAATTATGTACCAAAAAAATGTCTCCAAATTGGATTGAAATGAACTCTTTTACTCTTTCCACTCTTTCTAATAGGTGCAGATAGATCAGTGAGAGATCTTCCATCAAAAAAAAACGTCTACCTCGTCCGATGATTCATTCAAAAGTTACAGGCAATTGTAGATTTCACCTACGATCCCTTGTTTCCTTTTTATGGTCATCTACACCAAATTGTTCGGTATCTTTGAATGGCTCACATATCAATGCACTATCCCTGAAAAGATGGGGGCTACTGATTGGGGACCAAACCTTGTGCGAGATGGGAAAACCTCTTTGATTTGAAATGGTCCCACGATTTTACGTCAAATGTATATCATCTTACAAGGGGAGCTTCCCAAGTGTAACCGGAATTTCGAGTTGAAATTTCGCATGAAGGTACTAGACATGATTTTAGGGATGCCGTATTTTTTCGTTTTTTCGAATGGGGTCGGGAAAGCCCTCAAAAAAAGGGCTAAAGATGCGGAAAAAACGCGTGCGCTAGCGGCACAAGGTAAACCTAGGTGATAGAGGCTCTACACTCTTATCAGAATCGCATGGCCAAACGGTAGCGCGCTCGCCTCGCAGGCGGGAGATCCTAGGATCGGATCCTGATTACAGTTCGTAATTTTATTTTACTTTATGCTTGTTTATTTTTCACTTACTTTATTTTGCACCATTTGCTCCGCAAACCGACTTACGAGGTAGAACACGTAGTGACTGAAGATTTTTGACATATGCTGATAAAAACTCGAAGTTTCTCTTGGATTGAAACGTTATATATAATTGAATAAACAAAGCACTCTAAAACTCACCACATTTTGTTGCCAAGCTGAATTTCCGGAGTATCAGTCGAATTTGTATCTGTATCTGACTGATACTCCGGAAATTCAGCTTGGCAACGAAATTTGGTGAGTTTTAGAGTGTTTTGTTTAACCAATTATATATAACGTTTCAATCCAAGAGAAACTTCGAGTTTTTATCAGCATTTATGTCAAAAATCTTCAGTCACTACGTGTTCTACCTCGTAAGTCGGTTTGCAGAGCGAATGGTGCAAAATAAAGTAAGTGAAAAATAAACAAGCATAAAGTAAAATAAAATTACGAACTGAAATCAGGATCCGATCCTAGGACCTCCCGCCTGCGAGGCGAGCGCGCTACCGTTTGGCCATGCGATTCTGATAAGAGTGTAGAGCCTCTATCACCTAGGTTTACCTTGTGCCGCTAGCGCACGCGTTTTTTCCGCATCTTTAGCCCTTTTTTTGAGGGCTTTCCCGACCCCATTCGAAAAAACGAAAAAATACGGCATCCCTAAAATCATGTCTAGTATCTTCATGCGAAATTTCAACTCGAAATTCCGGTTACACTTGGGAAGCTCCCCTTGTTAGTTGAATGTATAAGTTTCATCTTCTCCAGTTTGCTTTGCAGGAATTATGCGTATAAAAAGAAGAGAAAGGTTTTTTATGTAGCTGTGAAGTCTTACAATTAATCAAGTTTGCAAAACTCTATTTTTCCCCCAGGCAGCACAAGTCCCAGTCGAATTTGAGACGTTCTTTTTGTCTGAAGTGAACCAAGCTATGAGTGCACCTCTAGAAGAAGTTGAAGAATCGATTAATCGAAATGGTATTTGTTTGAAGGTAAGTGTCGTCTCAATAAAGGATATGGTGCATTTTATAATTTTTTAGTTTTCCAAGGACCAAGTGTGACTTTATGTCATCCTAGCGTCACGGAAAGTCTCTGCAGCAAAGTAATAAAAACTGCAGAGTTTCACATGGTGTCATTTTTCTTTATTTTCCTAACAGATTTTTTAAATTTTTAGGGTTCAGTGGTGTCAGAGGCAAATACTTGACGACCAAAGTTTCCTTCACGATGCTTAATCACACGCTTCTATTTAATTATGATGCCATACAAAATTAAGACCTATTATCTCTGAATGAAGACCAATATCCAAGTTCTCAGTTTCACATAATTAATAAATCAACCATAATTAATAAATCAACAAAACTTCTGAAAATATTCATTTATTTTTCCTCATCTAATGAGGCTGCGCTTCAAATGGTAAATGAATTTTCCTCCAAAAAAATTTGTAGAAGTCCTGAACATTTTCACTTCTCAAAGTAACTGGAATAAAATTTTTGAACAATTCCTTTTTAAATACATTTTTTTTTCAGAAAATCTTAATTTGCGATATAACTGACTTGTAAATTTTTGTACAATACTTGTAAAATATTTAACAATAACAATTGCAAGTCCTTTGGGTGGAGTAGATTTTTCATCCTTTGCTCTGTACAATAGATCTACAAAACGGTGTATTTCCTACGGAAAATACACTGTGAAAAAGAAGAAAAAAATGAAGAGAGGCCTTTTCCCGAATGTATCATGTGACCCAAATAGCTCATGTCAAATCACCAACATGGCGAAGAGGACAATTCTTAATATTCGACAAAAGGAACATCTACCCATAATTTAAAAATAATTATTGAATTTTATATAGCTCTTCTAGCGTGTTGAAGAGTTTCCCAAGTGAACGGTACTGAAATGATGGTGGAGGGGGGGGGACAGAAAGAGGGAGAAATAACTTGTTTGAACATCATTCTTATTTTTTAGTCTTCATAATTTCATGAGACGCAAAGCTGTACACAGAATCATCATTTTATGCTAAAATTCCAAGGAAAGTATTTTTCCTGCTCACGACCGTACAAGCCTATGAAAAGTATGCAGTGACTACTCTCTCTTTTTATCGTTGAAATGGTTAGTACAGTGGTCCAATACCAATTAAACAGCCTGCTGACAAACGAGGAGTTGAAACTTGGTGACATGATAGGTGTCTCTGCTGAACGGGCAGTTGGCATCAGCTGTCAGTTACTCAGGTGGTAGTTGATACCCAGTTTAATAAGAATGGTCCTTAGTCTCCACCACGAGCTCTCTCCTCAGTCTCCACAATGAGCACTCTCAGTAATTTTTAATTCTTGCCTTTTTGGAAAATAGCAAGTACAATAATTAGTTCGAAAGCTAGTTCAACGTAAATGAATTTTGCGACTTGAGCCCCATCATGCGGTCACATTGTACTTATCTGGATCTCAGGACATGCAATGGGTATAGTTCCTGTTTGTAAATACGTCAAAATGAAACCATTTGAAGCATTTATTTCAAGAAAATGTTTCTCCTCTTCTGTTGTAACTGTCTAATCTGCGTTATCAGTGTTAGTTCATACCAGTTATCAGAAAATCTATTCATCTCAGTAGGTGAATGTTCTATTAGTTATATGACAACATCCTCTCTCCTTTTTCTTAAGTTCTTCTTATATTTGAAACATCCAGGCCCAATAATTATATATTTTAAGGTTTAAGTCTAATTTTCGAACTGTTTTGGAGCTTATTTGCTGAAAATCAGGGAATTCCTAACCTCTAGAAACATTAGTCCTATATGTTTCTCTACTGCCTCTTATTTATTTTATGCCTCATTTTCGTCTTCAAAACTTTTCTATGGTATTTGCATATTCATCTTTTTTTCTAATCTATTTTTATTTTTTATTTTATTTTTAAGGGTGTACTAGCCACGCCTGATTATAGTCATACTGGAGAATTAGAGACTCTCAATATGAAACTGAGAAGAAACTTAGATCTCTACGCCAATGTAGTTCATGTGAAATCATTACCAGGAGTAAAGCTAAGACATCAAAATATTGATTGTGTCATCATTCGAGAAATGACAGAGGGTGAATACTCGGCCCTTGAGCATGAAAGTGTCAAGGTAGAAACCACATTTATTTTTTCTCTTCTTTTTCTTCGAATCTGTCATAAAAAATGATGTAGAGGACTTACAAGGGGAGGCTACCGATTGTCCCCCTCAGATCGGGTTCAAATTTGGCAGAGAGGTAGAACAGGTTAATATAAGAACCCGTATTTTTTTTTAGGTGCCAATGCCCAGCCGTTTTTGAGTTATGAATTTTTGAAGTTGCCGTTTTTTCGTGTCAGCGACGCGCTCAAGTTGAGCCTACTGTGCGCGCACCTTTTAATGCGATCCGAATGTCGCAGAGTTCATGTGAGATAGTTGTCCAAGTGGTAGCGCGCTCGCCTATGGTGCTGCAGGCTCGGAGTTCGATACTTGTTCCATGACTTTAATTTTTAAAATTGATTATTTTGTTTTTTAATCGCCTCATCACAAGATATAGTAAGTCACCTTGTAGACGTTATGATTCTAATTATTTTTTATGTATATTTTTTTTTAATGAGTGTTTGACAAAAAAGGAAAAAAAACATAATTAGCATCACAACGTCTACAAGGTGACTTACTATTTCTTGTGATGAGGCGATTAAAAAACCAAATAATCAATTTTAAAAATTTAAGTCACGGAACAAGTATCGAACTCCGAGCCTGCAGCTCCATAGGCGAGCGCGCTACCGCTTGGACAACTGTCTCACATGAACTCTGCGACATTCGGATCGCATTAAAAGGTGCGCGCACAGTAGGCTCAACTTGAGCGCGTCGCTGACACGAAAAAACGGCAACTTCAAAAATTCGTAACTCAAAAACGGCTGGGCATTGGCACCTAAAAAAAAATACGGGTTCTTATATTAACCTGTTCTACCTCTCTGCCAAATTTGAACCCGATCTGAGGGGGACAATCGGTAGCCTCCCCTTGTTAGCCTAATAGCAATTTGTGGTGCAAGATTCTTCTGCAATAGTGTTGCGTGATTTATCGAGCAGATAGCTTCTAACATGTTGACAACATCATGTGCTGGCAGTCATTCCTGATAGTGTTTATAACTTTATGACCGTGTCAGGCACCAGCATTTATGCCCGCAAGGCGAATTGAGCACCATGAAAACTTTCAAAACTAACCCACAAGTGAGAAATAAACGTTTGAAGTTCACATAATAAAAAGTAAATTCAAACTTCCCTCCAGACCAAATTAGGCATCGAAAGCAACCCATGTGTGAAGCAAGTAACTGGAGCTTGGTTTCATGCAAATTTCCTTCCTCTTCTGACTCGAGGAGGTCCATTTCACCAGCCCCCTTCCCCCACTCCCCCCCATAATATATGAAAAATATGCTATCGTTTTATAAGTGTTTTGCTACACACTCAAAAAGCTCTCTAAGAGACGGAAAGAAGCTGAAAAGTGAAGGAGCTAACTCCTGGCTAGAGAAGCTTGAGTAAGAGACAAAGAGAGACAACAAACGCTATTTTCAATTTAATACTCTTATTCCTCTTCCTTAGAAAACACAGCTGCCCTTACAACATATAACACAATACAAATGGATGAACCTCTGGCTCCAGGCCATATCACAGTTACAGAAAGGGTAGCTGCACTATCGTGATTTAGGCCTCCAAGCCTCTACAAAGTATAAAACAAAAATATAATACTTATAAACTCACTCACACACACGCATTCATACGTTTGATCTAAAATTACCCCACAGCTGCTTTACAATTACTCTTTGCTCATTGAGCTTACGCACAGTTGGCAGATTGCTGACAACACTCAGAGTTAGACTGGAATGGAATAACTCGGGGGGTTGGCAGTAAACTAAGAACCCCTGAATTTGGAAGAGAGATATCAAAAACAAACTTACAATTCAAGAATTTACTAAAAGGGAAAGCCTGGCGGGGGCTCCAACGCTAAAATTAGAACTTTACTGTTTTACAGTCTGTGGTTCCTTTGCGGTTCAAACCTTGGCTCAAGCCAGGTACACCTAAAAGCTAATACAAACGGAACGGCTGAAAAAAGAAGGAGAGATCCAGCTCACGGCTACAGCAAATAGGCGTCCAGAAGACCAACGAAGCTGGGACTTAGTCAAAAGCTGGAAAACGTCATTGCCAAATTAGTCTGTATGGATAGAAATCCGGCTGGGAAAGTCGCAGCTGTAGCCACAAAAAAAGAAAACCGGAAATGGAATTTCGGTCCAAAACTGGAACCCTGTAGTGAAACATTTCACAGACTGTTTAGTTAAAAAGTCCGACGGGAGCATACGTAACTGGCTCTCTAAACCTCATCGCAATAATATGCATTATAACTACTAGAACTAACCCTATTCACTAGGAGCTTATACTCCCCTTATCAGTTACAATAAGTTTCAGCTCTGACTGACTAGAAAAGCCTTGAGATAATGGACTATGGTTGCGCAATTCTTATGCAACTTCTAGATTAATTAAAGATACAAATGGAGACCTTCTGCCTTAGGGGCTTTACAATACTTAGGTTTCGAGTTACCGAGACCAGAGAATGGAATTGTTGCATGTGTGCGGAATTTGCGATTTGACTGTTGATTCTTACGCAAAAGTTCGCGTGAAAGACGATGGTGCCACTGGTTTTCTCTGAAATCAACTCCCAAGCTTAAAAAAAAGCTCTTAAGTTGAGGCCAAAATGGAGGGGATATCCCACGCTATCCTGAGAGCCCACCTCTAAATCAAGACAAATTCTCCATGCAAGGATAGGGAGCAAATACATTGACAGGGCTGCCACTTTATTTGGGGACTCTAAAACTGAAAACATGACATCACTGCTAATGTATTTGCTCCCTATCTTTGCATGGAGAGTTCGTCTTGGTGTAGAGATAGAATCCCAGGATAGCGTGGGATATCCCCTCTATTTTGGTTTCAACTTGAGAGCTTTTCTTGAGCTTGGGAGTTGATTTCAGAGAAAACCAGTGGCACCATCGTGTTTTGGCCATCCTGACCTTTAACCGGCCGAAATTTTGAAATAGTTTGAGATATTGACTTCGGGTTTTCGCGAAAAGTTTTCTTTTTTTATGCTCTTTTGAACGAGGTATCACAAGAGGGATCTTCCCGTTTGAAAATAAATAGTTGGGGTCCGTTACCTCCCCCAAAGGGGGCCCCCTGAAAATTTTAGGGGGGTCAAAAAGAAGTTCCCTTTGACTGTGGAATGTCCCTAAAGTTTCAAATCTCTACCTCAGTAAGTTAAAAAGTTAGATGGGGGAGGGGGGACTTTTCTAACACCCTGTATGTTTTATAATACATATATTTGGAGCATGCTGTCAAGTATCCAATGAAGCTTTAATCCACAAAGACAATTTTATGTAAATCATACTTTTTTGCTTCGTTTCAGGGTGTTGTGGAATGTTTAAAAATTGTGACTAAACGGAAATCTCAAAGAATTGCCAAGTTTGCTTTTGACTATGCAACTAAAAATAACAGGAAAAAAGTTACTGCTGTACACAAAGCAAATATTATGAAACTTGGAGATGGATTATTCTTAAATAGCTGCAAAGAGGTAAATTGTAACGTAGAATTTTTGCATTTTACACAAAATAAAGTAATTCTAATTTTACACCTTACATTACCTAAAACCTATTGATTTGCAGAAATATTGATCAAAAGCAACCAAATAAAGGAGGAACGACAAGTGAGCTGAACAAATGAGGATGCTGCCAATATGTAGTTGTTTTGGAAACTGGGATTTTTAATGTAAGATTTGGAAATGACTTCAACATCCATTATCCAAGAAACAACCGATTTATTAAAAGAAGAAAGAAGAAACCTTGCTCCCATTATCTCCTTGCGTCATGCATACATAAGAAGCCATGACAGTTTACCTTACGAGCTTTCAAACTTTTTCTTATCGATATCAATCAACAACAAGCTGTATAGACTCAGGGCATGTCTTCATTCAATTCTTTCAGTTGTTGTCTGTTTTCAACCAAATCTAATTTTAAGTTGAAAACCGAGCATCCTGTTAAAAAAAGAAGATTGTGAGAATATAGACAGTTTTTCACCAGATTCTGTCCATAACATGGGTTCTTCAAATTGTTAGTGGATTTTTTGCTACTTCGTTAACAATGGGCCTGTTGCAAACTTTTGCTAGAGCAGAATGAAGAGTTGTTTCCTATAGATGATGCCTCAAAAATCACGATGAGCGCATCGGCAAAGTCTGAAATGCACTCATAAATTCACAATCTGCGTAAGAAATTTGCGTTATTTTAAGCTTCCCGCTTCAAAAACGATACTACTGCACAGGTGAACATTTTGTTAGATGAGTCCCTCCATCGTCGGCAATATTCATCATGGCCGACGCTTGCGCAGTTCCGCGAGTAATTCGAGGAGAGTTCAAGATCAATTAAGGCGGGCGAGGAAAATATAAACGTAAACACGCCGATTGTTATCTGGTTTAATCCTGTTCAGATGTTATCTCGTCCCATCACAGGTGTTTCGGCGGACTGGCGTCGGCCATGTTGAGTATTGCCGCCAATGGAACGACTTCTCTAACAAAATGTTCACCTGTACCGTAGTATCGTTTTCGAAGCGGGAAGCTCAAAAAACCGCAAATTTCTTGGGCAGATTGTGAAGTTATGAGTGCATTTCAGACTTTGCCGATGCGCTCATCGTGATTTTTGAAGCATTATCTGTAAGGAACAACTCTTAGTTTTGCTCTAGCAAAAGTTTGCAACAGGCCCATTCAGAAGCTTTGAGACTAAAATCACATGCATAAATGGGCTCTAAAACCCAATCTATGCACGCAATATTTGTCACGTGTTGTCAAGCGGCAAGAGATCGTGAAATTTCTAACTATGTGGAGGGCAATGGAGGTGTTTACACAAATGACCAAAAATTGCAATGTCAAAACTGTCACAGACGTTTTGAGTGACTTTTTGAGCACGGAGCAGAGGATCTTTTTTCAATGGGCCTGTTGCAGACTTTTGCTAGAGCAAAACTAAGAGTTGTTTCTTATAGATAATGCCTCAAAAATCACGATGAGCGCATCGGCAAAGTCTGAAGTGCACTCATAACTTCATAATCTGCGTAAGAAATTTGCGTTTTTTTGAGCTTCAAAAACGACACTACGGCACAGGTGAACATTTTGTTAGAGGAGTCCCTCCACCGTCGGCAATATTTATCATGGCCGACGCTTGCGCAGTTCCGCGAGTAATTCGAGGAGAGTTCAAGGTCAATCAGGGTGGGCGAGGAAAATATGAACGTAAACATGCCAATTGTTATCTGGTCTAATCCTGTTCAGGTGTTATCTCGTCCCATCACACGTGTTTTGGTGGATTGGCGTCGGCCATGATGAATATTGCCGACGATGGAACGACTACTCTAATAAAATATGTTCACCTGTGCTGTAGTATCGTTTTTGAAGCGGGAAGCTCAAAAAACAGCAAATTTCTTACGCAGATTTTGAAGTTATGAGTGCATTTCAGACTTTGCTGATGCGCTCATTGTGATTTTTGAGGCATTATCTATAAGAGACAACTCTTAATTTTGCTCTAGCAAAAGTTTGCAACAGGCCCATTAAACATTGCAATTCTAGTTAAATTAATGTCAATTCCTGAAGCCAAAAGGTTTCCATGTCATCTGCAGTGAAATGAATGCTAAAAACTGTTTATTTTTGGTTATGCAAGCGAATTGAGGCGATTTAATAAGTTAAGGAATTTTTATTATTATAGTCAGGAAAACCCAGAATAGTCTGGGTAGTAGGGCAAAAAAGCATAACAATCGTGCAATTCTAAAAGGAAGCATGAAACTTTCAGGATATCATATTTATCTATTGAAGGTTCAATTTCGCAAGTGAGCCCAAAATTCTGAGGCCATGGGGGGNGGGGGGGGGGGCTGGGGACCCTGAATTCGCTACGTCTTGCCGAATTTTCGCATTGATGTACAAAGTGATCAAAACTTGTGTAAACGTCATTAGTAGGCTCTCTCGAAAAGTATTCTAAAATTTTATCACCGTCCGATCCCGGAACACCCCTGAAAATGCCTAAAATTTAAAATGGCGCCCATAATAAGGCCACCAGAATACCGGTATTTTCACTTGTGCATATCCTGTCATGTGAGGTATCATTTTCCATGCAATGTTGATCTCAGATTTCATAATTGAGGTCAAAAGAACCCCCCGATCAAAATTGGTGCCCCAAATCCAAGATGGCGGCCAAATTTAAAAGGCAAAAGGTGCATTTTTAAACTTTAAAGTGATAGTACGGCAAGTGCTATGTCATTTCCTAAGTAATTTTAGTCGCAGATTTCATTAATGAAGTCAAAAGAGCTCCCCGGTCAAAGTTGGTGCTCCAAGTCTAAGGTAAAGACCAAATTTGAGACGCAGGAGGATGCATTTTTTAGACTTTCACGTGATAAAGCATGTGATATGTCATTTCCCGAGTAATTTTGGTCGTTGATTTCATTGATGAAGTCAAAAAAGCACCCCTCACTCCCCTCCGGTCAAAATTGGTGCCCCAAGTCTAAGATGATGGCCAAATTTGAAAGCAGGAGTGCACATTTTCATGAGAAAAAAATCTTGTGAGATGGCAAGTGAGGTATCAATTTTCATGTAGTTTTATTCAACGAAACGAATCTAAATGAAATTCAAAAAAAATTATTTTACACGAAAATGAGACGAGAGATTCAAGATGATGGCAAACACGGCTGACAGGTGATAAGTCACAAATAGTGAGGTGTCTTACTTATTACTGCACAAAAACTTAGAGCTCAATTGCAGATGCCCTATACGCAGAGGATGAACAAATTATACAAACCGAAACTAATGTAGAAAACTTTCAGTGCGTTTTAGATGGTGAGCTACTCCATTAACTCCGATTGAAAAATAGGTATACTTATGATCCCATTGCACAACCGTATGTTCACTCTGTTGTTTCTTAGTTCGTCGAACACGATTGTGGCGACGGTCATCAAGAAATCCATCCATGAATGCAAGACTCTACTCATCTCAAGAGAAGCCAAAAATTCAGTAAAGCCTCTATGACTAATTCCTCTCCAAAAACACGTTTTGTTGATATAAAAGGGGTATTTCTGGCAAATTCAGCCATCAAACGTTGTTATATCCATTTAATTGATGCCCACTTTGAATCCACCATGTCTAAAGGTTCTATATGAGAAAGGAGATGCTGATATTGATATCGTCAAAGACGGTGTTGCAGCTTGTAAGAACACTGACACAATATTGTGATTGGAAAGGATTCGAATCTATTTGATTTTTTGTTTAATTGATGAGACACCAATTTTTCTAAAATTAAATGCGCAGAATCCAAGATGATTGCTGTTCTTGCATTCATGCATTTGCTGGTTGCGATTCGACCCCTCACATGCATAAAATAGGAACAGCATCTTTATTCTATACGCTTTTATCTATGATCCTTACCTGCAAGAATCTAAAGAAAGGTTCTTGGAACCTAATCAAAACCATTAACGAATAAAAAGAGCTTGAAAAGAGTGAATCAATGATGAAACTGTCTAAATACGTATTTCGGTTCGCGGCGTTGTAGACTTCCTGTCATACGAGGGGCGTTCAATAAGTAAGTATCCCCCCTCTCTAAAATCCATAAGAATGGACCAATTTTAAAAAACTTGGGCTCAAAATCTTCCTTAGGATATTTTGAGTTCAACAAAACAAACCGCAACAAAATCGGACTATGTGCGGCCGAACGCGAGCCGTTTGAACGCGCCGAGGTGCTCGACGCTCCCGCCGAATCTGCGAGGATTTGAAGTCCGCTACAGGAGAAGAGCTTCTCTGCCAAAGCCTCAGTCGTTCATCACTGACGATCGAAAAATCAAAGAAATTTTTGTAGAATAAGGGGCTTCCCTCACTTCTCCACATAACCAGCTCGATCCAAGCAAGTCTGATACTGAGACTAAGACTAAGAGAACAGCTTTTGGATGCCTCGCGCGTGGAAGTCTTTCACTGACCGCGGATGAAAGAGTGGACGGCTTGTTTGACCTCTTCCACTGATTCAAAATTAACTCCTCCGAGTTCAGATTTCAGATACGATAATAAATGGCAAACCTGACCACCATTTATTCCCGTTCCTGAAATCTGAACTCGGAGGAGTTAATTTTGAATCAGTGGAAGAGGTCAAACAAGCCGTCCACTCTTTCATCCGCGGTCAGTGAAAGACTTCCACGCGCGAGGCATCCAAAAGCTGTTCTCTTAGTCTTAGTCTCAGTATCAGACTTGCTTGGATCGAGCTGGTTATGTGGAGAAGTGAGGGAAGCCCCTTATTCTACAAAAATTTCTTTGATTTTTCGATCGTCAGTGATGAACGACTGAGGCTTTGGCAGAGAAGCTCTTCTCCTGTAGCGGACTTCAAATCCTCGCAGATTCGGCGGGAGCGTCGAGCACCTCGGCGCGTTCAAACGGCTCGCGTTCGGCCGCACATAGTCCGATTTTGTTGCGGTTTGTTTTGTTGAACTCAAAATATCCTAAGGAAGATTTTGAGCCCAAGTTTTTTAAAATTGGTCCATTCTTATGGATTTTAGAGAGGGGGG